ATATCACACTTGTAATTATCACAAAAACTGTGATGAACACACTACGAAACATGGATAAAGACATAATAACTGACAATACTTTATAATAATAATAACTTATTTTATAGCGCCTTTAACGCAGCTTCTCAAGACACTTACAGCCAGTAGACCAGCTTGTGAGGAGCGTAAGTGACGCTTGGGTGTATCTAGAGTTGACCGGAAGCCAGAGCAAGGACTAGAATTGGAGTAATGTGTTCATTACACTGTGACTCACCATTGTATTTTTCTTCCTCTTCCTCTTTCTGTTTTCTGATGTCGAGGCTCTTCCTGATTAACCCAAAACAAAATGAATCGATCGGTAAGAGAAAGATAACCTGGAGATGTACAGCAGCATCTGAGACAGAAACTCATTCAGTGATTGAGAGTTTGATTGAAGATTGAAGCAGCTAATTATTAATGTGTTTCAACAGATAATAAATGACCAAACCTCGTCTGTTGTGTCTTAATTTGCACACAGTCAGAGTGAATCCACCGATCAGCAGCAGAATCACACACACACTAATAATGAAGATCACGGAGAAATCTGGAAAACACAGAAGCATTGTGTCATTATCTACATCTACAACAACGCAGTGAATTTAGAAAGCAGACAATCTATCAATGCTAACAAATACATGTATCTGACAGAGTAGCAAAAGTCAACCGTACACAGACTAAACATGGTAAAGCTTTCTTTCAAGATTTATTTTTGTCACAATCAATAATTATCAATAATGCATAATTGGAATAATCATTAAACATTTTAACCACCAGATGTTATCTCTGTGCAGTATCTCCTCTGCTGCATTTGACTCGCTTGCTCTCTTCCTCTCACTTCTCACTTCTGAACAAACATATTCAGATGCAGAAACCTTCCTCACCCTCGTTCATGATGACGATCAGATGAGTGTAAAGATAATTGAGGTCTGTTTCTAATGTCACTGCACACCAGTATTTCCCAGCATCCTCTGCTGTCAGTCCAGTGATGGTCCCAGTGAAGACACGTGCAGTGACGTTATCATTCAGAGTCAATCTGCCAGTCTTGCTCTCCTTTTCTTCTCTCACAGTCTCACTGAGAGTATTTCTGTCTCTAGTGGAGCACTTCCCCTTACAGAGAGACTTTGGCTTTGATTTATAGATTGAATCATAAGGGCAGATGATCTTAGCAGATTCTCCTTCATGTCTCACTACTGGAGGCACTAAAACCAATCAAACACAGACATTTAACACAAAAGATTCTGAATATACTGTGTTTACTACAGTGAAATCATCTGAATGGACTCACTGATGATGTTGAGCTGAATTTTAGTGTTCAGGGAGATGAAAGTCAGATATGTGTCTCTGGTTTCTGCTCCACACCAGTAAACTCCAGCATCTCTCACACTCACATTACTGATGCTCACTCTAACAACTCTCTCTTCATTTCTCTCAGATGAAGGATTCATTTCTGTCACTTTAGATGAGCTGATGGTTTGGCAGATGTGATTATCATCCTCTTTGCATAAATGAACTTCATGTTTCTCTGGGATCTGACAGGTGATGTTGACT